TGTCTGTCTGTCTGTCTCTCTCTCTCTTTCTCCCTCCCCCTATCTCTCCCTCTCCCTCTTCCTCTCTCTGCGTGTGTGTGCCTGTGTGTTCACCGTATCTACTACCCTTACCGATGAAACCACCGCGCGTAGTAGACTTCATAATAGTTTCCCTCGAAGTACAGAGGCAACCATAACAGAACAACGTCCGCCACGAAGGAATCCCGTATCGCTTCGCCTCGCCCGGCCCGGCGTGCTCCAAAGTTGTTGTTTCGTGTCACGCTGGGAATGAAACGACACCGACTTGGCGGTACTACTGTTGTGTCCGGAGCGTTTTTTGTGCCCCGCGGCCTTCTTGTAAACGGCGAGCACACCGCGGCGCGCGCACACACACAGCACGACCACACCACAACCTGCCTGAGCGGATGTCGCGCGTTCGTAGCACGTGTGCTTTGGGGGGTGCTTCCCCACGGGCCTGCTGCTGATGCAGCCAGTAGTGCGGCACGCCAATTTCGGTCCCCGGGATGGAGACACCAAGTACGACCTCAAGCCGAGTTAGTAGTTGTGTGAGCGCGTGTGCGTGGTGCGGTGCTTGTCCTGTGTGTGTGTGTGCGTCTGTGTGTTGTGTGCGTGTTATTTGCTTGTATGTGTGTGTTAATATCGGGAGGGCCGCTTGCACGGCCTATTTACTTACGTGCTACGTGCCAGTTGTTAGTGGTCAAAATGTCTGCAAGGCTTTTCCTGTCTTCGTCTTCGTCTTCTTCTTCTTCTTCGTCTTCGTCTTCTTCTTCTTCTTCGTCTTCTACTTCGTCTTCTTCTTCGTCTTCTTCTTCTTCTTCTTCTTCTTGTTTTTTTTTTTTTTTTTTTTAATGCCTCGTAAGGTGCTTTTCATCTGGCTACCTTCTTATTTTTCTACATTGTGATTGGGAGGGGGTGCTGTGCTGGAAAACTAAAATGAAATCCTAGTCGTGAAGACTGTTTAGCTCTATACAGCAGGCTCGTGTTTGACGCTGCCCTGCGGACACTCTTGGCTCGCGGGGGACCGATGTGGGCCGCTCGGACGGCGGCGCTGTGGTGACGGATGGACGCTTCAACGTCACCGCATCCGTCACTCTCGCCTTCAGCCCCCACCTCCCCGCCACCCCAATTGGTGTCCCTTGCGCCCCCACTCTGCACGGACCCATCACCCCCATCACGTCTGCACCTCTCACCATATTTTTTTTCGCACATCCTTTGTCTTAATTTTCTTCCAGATTCTCTAGGCTTTTTCGTTCTTTTTTGAAATGAGTCAACATCATTTTTAATAAATCGTGTGTAACTTTTATTCTGATGGCGTGTCATATTGGGTCTTTATAAATATAGTGGTTTTGTCTCTCTCCTATAAAATGTGGCGCTGGCGCTGTTCGGTGGCGCTACCACTACGGTGGCAGCACGGCAGCAGGGATGGGAAAAATTTAACTAAACTAGTTTCTGTAACTGTAACTAGTTACAATTTGCATCAACTAAAACTGTAACTAGTTTCATTTTTAAACTAAATAACTGTAGCTGTAACTAGTTACATTTTTTTCTGTAACTGTAACTAATATCAGTTACAGTTATTTTTGCCGATTATAACTTTTAAAAAGTATGATATTTCTTTCCTGTTTATCCACATGCTGTTGCAATGTGCTATCTGGAGACTGCGGCTAGCGCGGCATTCAGAGGAATGAAGGAAAAGGAGCTGGAAAGACGGCATTGTTTCGGCTCATCTGGGGTCTGTGCAGGCCTGTGCAAGCAAGGCGGCGAGGTCGAGGAGGAAGACCCTTTTATTTACTGCATGTCAATTATACGTATATCCGTTTCAACAGAGCGGTCTTCGAGACGCTTTGCCGCATTTGTCACGGTTCACATTCGCCCGGCCTTGGCGACCT